TAACCCATCACCGCTATACTTCTCACACTTCTTTTTTTACACAGGGTGAGAAGCCCAAACAATCAAACGTAACAACTTTCATTCTCTAGTACAGGCAGATTCACCAGATAACCAAGGGCAATAGGGGGTTAGTCGTAATTAGTAGATATGCCCTTTTGTCTGACTTTACAGACGTTGCCTTTTGTTTGCCTAAAACCTTTACTGAAAGACTACAGAAAATTTGAATGTGCCAGGAAAATGAGTTGTGAATTCCTAATCTTTGACACCTTGAAAACAAATGGGAAACAGATAAGAGAAAGCCAACTTTTTCTAAGCAAAACTCCTCAACAGTGGGTCAATTCGCGATATATGTACATATTACTTCACCGGACTCGGTGTCCTTTGTCAGTCCGGTGAAGTAATATGTACATATGTCGCGACTTGTACCTCGCAACTGACTTTGATGGGCCGAAACTTGAAGCCTGAAGGTCGAAAACCCCAATTTCTTTCGATAGATGGAATAGACGGACTACCGAAGGAAATCAGCTAAAATCAAAGGTCAACTGAATTGGCAAAAAAATATCACGAGATGTAATTTGAGTGCTGTGTGCGTGTAGCCCTGTCGACAGCAGACCTGATACCCTAGAACCAGCAAGTGCGTCACAATCACACGGGCTAGTTTAAAAAATTTATCTGCATCATCTGATTGTCAAAAGTTCGCTACACTCTGTTCAAGAACTGAACTCAGGGATCGAAGGGCACTTGGTCACGTTATCACTTCAATGTCTGCTGTAAGATCGTCACTGCGGACGCTAGAAATTTCCTCCTTCCATCTTCTGGGACTGAAAATAAGCTATTGAACTTCCTTGCTTGAACTGGGAGCCCCTTCGAAGCTGAGGACGGTGTCTTGCTACAGTTTTTATATCCATATCTATCCATATTTTCGTTCACTTTCTTTATCCATTTCCTTTACTTACTCTATTAACTTCCTTCGTTTATGTGTATTTTTTNTTTTTTAATATTGCATGCATATGGGCTTACTTCTAGCCCACTACCTGAGAAGGGCTTTTAATAGTTTGTAGGACAAAAGACTGGAATTAGCTGTCCCTACTCTAGTACATTCCTACTCTTTGATTGACAATCGCTTCACTAACGAACTAAGGACAACTGTCGACTATTGCACTGATACTACCCACCCATGCACTGTTACCACCTGATTGCATTACGTGCTTACAAAATCAACGGAACCGGCTTAACGAGATCATTTGCGCGGTAGGTAATCCATGATGCGCAGCTGAAGTCATTTTTTGTTTACCTCTCGAGGTTCTCCCAGCCCAAACTTTAGCGACTGCTTTATTTATTACTCTAGCTTCACTTTACTTCCTTCCTCTATGGTTTCATCAGTTTTTTGCTGTCATTTTCTCCATGAAAGATGAAAAAACAATTCCCTCACACACATAGTGAATAATATGAAAGCAGTGGTGCTTTTCATCTCATATGCTAGACAGTGGATACTATAGAGAGGCATCGGGATAAAAAGCACATGGGATTACGATTACGGAGTCGACAGAAACCTTATGATAAGGTGACATATAAGAGAAGATTCGTCTTGTTTGATAGGCATTGTCGTTATCGTTCACTCGTTCGTCTTGGTGCTCTGTTTTATTGGGTCTTCTTCATTTCTCGATTTATTAGAGGGATGTAATTGTACAGCTCCTGTAACTGTGAAACTTCTGCGGCTTCGTATCCCTTCTCGACTTCGCAGTGTGAACGATACCTTCCTTTACTAAGCCATATATTAATTTATGAAATGCCTAGGTACATAGCTTATGAAGAAACCCATCTCTAAAATGTTTAGAATCAAGGCGAGGGCTCAACAAGAAAAGGGAAATAGAGTGGGCAAAATAGTCAAACTTGATGTGTGGAGTAGTATTTGGTTGGGCCGTGGTCATTGTTTGCGATTGTTTCCAACATACTAAATGATTTGGAGAAGTTTCTAGGAATTAATCCTGGATCGACCAAAGTCGAGTACCTCATTAGCGCTCTACCTGTAATGACAATTGCTTGCCATTTCAAGTACTGGCTCAATATGGCCTAATTTTAGCTAGGCAGAAAATCTATGCTTGGATTATACGATGTACTTGTAAATGAATGTTCGTAATAAATATAGTACAGCACTTTCGCTGCAGGAGCCTATTGCATCAGGTTGAATAACAGAGAATGCCCGCTTTTTCCAAACCTTCTTGAAGCACTTCCTTGTTACCCTGCTTTCTGTAAAGCAACAATGTCGTCTCTTTCGACTAACACTTTGTTCTTTACTAGATCCGCATAAGAAACTTAAAACATCTGTGCTGCAGAAGGAATGGACGCTGTGGACGAGCTATCCTGTCGTCTTTGGTACCACAAGCTCACGAAAGCAACTACAGCCTTGAAAACTAACCACGTTTGGGACGGCCACTAATCATAGATTTTGACTGCATCGAGGATCTCTTGTAAAGCAATCGGTAGCTACTGCCAAACATGCAGTGCTCCTAAATGGTCACGGGCCTTCCCTATGAGTTGTGGCGTACAATACAATAATTGTACAATACAAACTAGGGAGGTGGATTCTCTGTGTATCTCTTTCGACTAACACTTTGTTCTTTACTAGATCCGCATAAGAAACTTAAAACATTTGTGCTGCAGAAGGAATGGACGCTGTGGACGAGCTATCCTGTCGTCTTTGGTACCACAAGCTCACGAAAGCAACTACAGCCTTGAAAACTAACCACGTTTGGGACGGCCACTAATCATAGATTTTGACTGCATCGAGGATCTCTTGTAAAGCAATCGGTAGCTACTGCCAAACATGCAGTGCTCCTAAATGGTCACGGGCCTTCCCTATGAGTTGTGGCGTACAATACAATAATTGTACAATACAAACTAGGGAGGTGGATTCTCTGTGTATGGATAGCCTACGTAAACCATACTCGGACACGTCAGTGGGTGGATGCACACCAACAGCCATTGCCACTTCCAAGACCAGAGCTTCACACGAGACCCCACGAAGCTCATGCTTTACATATGGCGAAGTGTTTGAGGCCTGCATCACTAGGATCTTCTGGATAACAACACCACCCTTATCGAACCCACCCACTGTCGCAGCAGCTGGAGTTGCTGCATTGCAGCAAAACTGCAGCTCCCTATACGTGAAATCCCGCATGCTGCAAAAGCTATCAGTGGCGGCCATCCAACTTAACCATATCTCTATTAGACGGATCATGTTGAGTGAGCTTTTCGTGTACAGACTGTTCACGGACTCACATCTTCATTTCCGCAGTGTTGCTCTGATTGCAGATCTCTCATGACTTGGTCTTCAAAAGTTATCAGAATAAAACGGTACAGATGTCAAAAAAGTTGGTTCTGCATTACTGAATGAGTAAGGTTTCTCATTTATTCCACCGTCATTCGAATCGAATGGAACACCCTCCGAAGTATGAACGAGCTATTTGGCTGGGGATGTGAGCTTGGGCAACAGAAGAGTTTTCAGGAGTTTTTTTCAAATCCCTGGAATTTCACGTGTATTTGCCTTATTCGTTGCTCTTTGTACCACTTACCTATCCCGAACTCACTTTTACTGTCATATTATAGGTGTACGCACTTTCCCAGACAAGAAAACTATCCTTTCTCGCTTTTCGAGGCTTACTTCCGTAAAAATGAATAAGTCGGTCATTCCTTATTCTTGGGCACTGATTACGACATTTTTTCCAAAATTACGAACACCTCTTCAGCTGGAACTTGAAATAGCGATACCCTGCCTCGTTTTACCCTACGGACGGAGTCGACGTAAAATGCAAGTGTGAGCATTTTTATTGCAGTGTGCAGCCTTGGCATCTTTCTCTTCCTTTCCGCAACTCGCGATTTGAAAATTACCCGACATGATTGGTATATTTTTACTCGAGTGCATTAATGTTTCCGACAAACTTTTCGGCAGTTTCCTAAGCCCTCTTAAGATTTCATTTACTCATGTCTGGATTTCTCGCTCTGAATTTGAACCCAATGCCACTTTGGAAAAAAAAACACTTTCCCGCAGCTCGAGTGCCGCAATACTTGACACTCCACGATACAAAACCAAAGGGTTCACTTGAGGCCATCCAGTGTTCAGTGAAATGTGTAAGGCGCTCCAATCTTATCAATGCAGACGCTTATCTCAACGAAAAGAAAATCGGTCCAAAAGTCCACACACCGTCCTCAGTCCTGAAAATATCAGTTGGGGAGTTTCAGTCGTAAATGCTGCGATATGTAGCACAGATAATTATATCTCACAATGGATAGAGCTCACACAATCGTCACCTTCTAGTCGACCCTGTCAGCTAGTACTCTGAAACAGGGAACAGGGAGTTTATGTTCCACAACGAAGTTTTCACCACCATCCGTCCCCTCCGAGTGTGTTTCGAACAAGCCTGCTTTCGCTTTCTTTCAGTGTCAGCTTATCGTTACATTCAAAAAAATACTTGGAGGTCCCTTGAGAGGCGTTTTTTTTTCGTGGAAAAAACAGCAGAAGAAAAGTGGAAAAGAGGAAAGGATCAAAAAACGAATGGCAACTGAGCAGCGATAAACTAGACATGCGAGGCTCTAGAAATTTCGAAGGGCAATCTGTTCTGAAAAGATCGGGAGCGATCTTATTGAACCTTGATATGTTTCAGCTGGGTCTCCCAGAATTATGCTATAGTATGGTGGATGAGATGACGTAAAAATAAAAAGACAACCAGCACAAGCATACCAGGGTGCTTCATTCCTCGTATGCTACTAAAAGGAATGATTCATTATTTCGCTTCTTTCGGGCAGCAGTGCGCCTCATGTGGATGGCACCGCCTGTTACATTGTGTCCGTCCACTGCAGCCACCGGTTTTTGCCATAACTTGAACTCTGAACGCCGTCCCAACTTCGTCCAATTTCCCGTTACCCCGTGTAGCAGGTTTTCGCTCGCGGGGTCAACGCCCAAGCCGGTACTTTGCATCAATGGTTTCGATTGACTTGCCATGAGGCCACCATATGTGCCGTTTATTGCAATTGAAAAAAACACCTACATCGACGTGGATTTGCCGTCATCGCTTGCTGATGTCGCTATAACTCTAACCGCTCAAATTGCTGCTGCTACTGCTGCTGCTGCTGTTGCTGCTGTAATGTGCACCAGTTCTTTTTTCCGTGTGTGCGAGTCCGCCATTGCCACCACCGGTTGGGGATTCGGGCAGCCGTTAGACCACGCCCGCCACGATGGCGGTGGTTTGCTACCGCTCCACTTGGACCCGTCCGTCCATAATGAGCCTTCGACGCTCACTTTTATGGCTGCACTGCAAGTGCACTTTTCTGTGGGCCTCTGTTTCAGAAAAAAAGCCTATGTGACTTTGCGGCTGTCATTACTGCCATGATGATCTTTTTTACTGGTCGCAGGAATATTTGAACTTTGTTCTGAAGGACGTCATTTTCCTTCCTGACACTATCGCCATTTAATACACCTGGCTGATAGTGATTTTGGCGAAAATCATGGAAGGATAACAGAAGTGAACTGAACCAACTCATCAGCTCTTTCTGTCTTAGGGAAAGTCTTTTTCTTTGTATCGACTTGATGTTTTTAATCGACCATTGATATATCTCCTAATTATGACTGATAAACAGCTTTCTGTAAAGTTAATAGTAGTTATAAGCCGTCTCCATTCCTCCACTTCCTCAGAAACGAAGAAAATTATCGGTTGATGCCGGAGAATATTCTAAAGACAACCTACTATTGACTTATACAGCCATTCATTAAAGTTACTTCTTCAAAGCCGACTGCGATGATCTGAACTCGAATCGCTTCTTGAAATTGCAGCCAAAACAAAGGTAAATAAGATTCGATTTGAAGTTTTCATTGATATCAGCCTTTCTACTGGACTTTCCAGACTATTTATCTCTGTCATCCTTATTTCTATCCGTTGGAAAACACTAAATACTAGCTGACTTTTCAATGAAATGTGCTANCTATTTATCAAATGTGAGAAAGATAATGCGCTCGAATCACGATTTTGCGCTCCACGTCCAACTTGCATCCCGATTTGAACCCTCACCGCTTCGCTGGGCTGTTGATATCGCTCGTTTCGTTCTTCTGACTTCTTTTTTCAATTGTTTTTCGAATAATATATTCGAAGTGCTATCGAGCATTCTATAAGAAGGTACGGAACCAGAATCCGTCGTAGTTACCTCTTGAAAATGATCTCGAACATTCCGAAACTGAGTGGATGCACTTTGCACGAATTGGCATTGATCGCTCCGACATCGCGTGACGGGGAGTTATGGGTTTGATTTCTCTCTTCTGGACTCACATCGGTGTGTTTTCTTAAATTTTACAGTCCCTTAGGTATCACAGAAGTAAAGACTGGTTTTGTGTGAACTGACTTCAAGCTGTAGAATTACATACTTAAAAGAAATGCTGAAAAGTCTTCTAAAGCTGAGTTTACAAGGTTCAGGATAAGATATAAGCTAGTGTTGGGATTTCTAATCGTCGCTAGGGTTGGGTCGCTTAAACTTAAAATTTCTGTCTTCCATAACTTTTGATTGGTGAAAACTGGTGCACCCATTTATCGACATCGTTTTAGTAACGATCTAATGCATCTTCATTTCCTTTCAGAATTATTGCCTTTGAAATGCAGTCAGCCTTTTAACGGGACCGTTCAAAGGTGGCTATGTTTGTGTGAATACGTTTCAGTGTCAAAATGGGATTTCTAGGGGAAGGCTCGTGAATTCACTTCAAACGGTTACTCATAGCACCGACGAATCCAGCTTCATCTTTTCGTAATAAGAACACACTAATGTATTTATTTGGTTGCTTTATCCAGTTTTCTTATTGTGTGCCATCAACTAAGACCGACGACCACCCTGTTGTTCCAAACCCTTCCCATCTCCGGTTGGTACCCCTTCTCAACATGCCCATCCCTTCATGAAATAATCACAATAATCTCTCCTTACTTTTATAATAGAAAGGAATCGATTTGCACTCGAGCCTTACCTAAGAAGATTTCTTCTGTATTTCCAGTTTTCTCATTACTTTTCTCTTAGCGGTCCTTTCCTTTAATTCTGAGCTATCTGACAAGATGCCATGAGGATACATACCCATTTTATCGTAAGTTGTAACACAAAGCAATGTTCAGTAAAGAGGCTTTGAGAAATTTCTACCTTCTGAGGAGTTCTGCAATTTGTGTTAAACATCAACATTACGCATGTGAGCCCTCATAGGATAGAGCGCATGAGGCACACACCAACTCGTTTCTCATAAAATCTGCAGCGGAAAGAAATCGTTCATTTCTGTAGATGTAAGCGAAAAACCCGAACATTCGATGTTCCACGTGCCACAGCTCTTGCAGCCCTGGTGGGTTGCAGTGGTGGGAGTGAACTAAACATCAGACATATATTTCTTTTTTCACAGTAAAAATTTTGATTTCGAATGGAATTAGGTAGAGGTATATATATATGTATAAATACATATATATATATATTCAGTTCGTGACTAAAATAGGTGAGGAAGGGTCACCTTCCTCTAGGGAGGTATATTAGAAAAGTGAAGAGGCCGGCGCGAGTATGCTTACAGGGCTAACCTCAGCGTGTCTCTCACGTCAACGTGCTGTTTTCCGACATCGATCGATAGCCATCGTGGACGCTCACGCAAAAACGCCAGTAGTATGAATGCGTCCAAAGTGATACCCACTTATGCCATCAAGCCGTCCGCCCTTCTGGACTTGCTCGTCTGGAAAAGCGCCCATTGTTACATCGGATACATTTTCAGATCATTGTATAGGCGAAATGCTCATTCAAACCCTACTAGGGTTGTGGATGGAATGACCCCGAAATGGGATTGATCAATCTCAAAGAGAAATCGTCTCGCGGGTCTACTTGCGAACCCCCTAAGTTTTAGCTGGCGAAATAACTGCTGCTGTTGTTTTTCTTCGTTTTTTTTTCTGTTGTTTCCAAATCATCAATGTTCCTATATGTTCGGGAACTCGCTTCACCAAAAGCAATAAACTGTTATATCTTCACACATACATTTTTGTAAAGAAGCACTGGAGCAGGAACTCTTCAGTTGTTTCCTACACGACAACCCTTAATTTTCAAGATATGGTTTAGTGGTAAGCTGTCAGTGTAGCCAAGAATCGTATTATCGACTAACCTGCTAGCCACTCTACTTTCCGGACATTCTGTTCTGCCTGTATTTTTAGTGTGTATTCTGCTAATGTTCAAGTGTGATGGCAATTCTTAGTGCTAGGCGCGTCCATAGCTTCTCCCGCTTTTGTTCTCTACAGCTTCGTGCTCAGCGCACATAATTTGCTCCAGTTTCCACAAATCAATCAGAAAGTTCTTCGAATTTTATTCTGATCTTCCTCACCTGTTTTTGCCCTGAAGTAATACAGTTCCTATCCCTATTCACTATAAATCTAACAATAAGTTCTCGTTTTCTTACCGTTGATCGATTAGGCTTTCATGATGTGCCAAACGTTCGACTTCCATTCAAAATCGTTGAATGTGTATGAGGCCTATCCATTGACTTGAGATGGCCGACAGATGTACAAGTTGCAAAATTCATCCTTCCAGACAACCTTGGTTCCAATAATGAACCAGGGTTGAAGGTACAGTTCACGATAATTTTGGTATTTTTAGTTTTAGACGAATAAGGAATGTACAGTCCAAAATAGTGCAAAAATGGCGAAGGAAGCGCGAAAACCGGCGCTAGAAAAGTATAGGGCTCTAAAGAAAGTAGCGAAATCAGGAGGATTGTTACGACAAAAGCTGCATGGAATGGGCATTTGGACGAGTTGTGCAAATGTGTGTGCCATTGTGCTCCCTGCTCCCTGCTTGCAACATGTGCGTCCCGGCGTAACTGCTGCAACCTCCACAACCTTTAAACGCCTTGAAAACTCGTCCATACTTGGGTATGTAGATTGGCTAATCCTGCTCTGGTATTTCGCGGGTCCGGGATTTTTTCCCCTAACACGGCGTCGCACACGCCGCACCCGCCGCCTATCGCAGGATTGCGATGGAAGATTGGAGCGCGCAATTTGTGAGGTAGGGAATCCTTTAATTATTTGAATTGGCTGGCCGCTCTTTTCAATTCCAATGCGGTCTTGATCGTCGTTTATATNAAGTCATCATCCATGTCAACCTCGAAGCATATATGACCAGGACNCGATTGGCGAGAGGCGGGGTGAGTACGGTAATTGCAGTGACACTTACCGCAAGCCGCAAGGGAGAATGCCGCGATAGGGGAGAAGTTCCGTTACCCGGTATTTCGCCTTATCTAAGCCGTTCTTTGACTCGACAGCCTCCGTTTTGCTATCCTTGGGGTTCACAGGCTCATCCTGAGGAGGAATCTTAAGGTCCATTTTTATCGTGAACTGTGCCTTTAACGGGAATCGTGTTGAAATGCGACTTATCAGTAGACCACCTACGCCCTTGCTTCACAGTTATTGGATAGTTTTTTGCGGCATTTCATGTACACTGACTTTAGCTTCCCATTGGGTGTTCGCCTTTTTTTATTGTACTATGAAAATTTTGCCGGCAACTTTCTCTATGTACTTAGGGGGAGTTGAAGTGGAATTAAGCAGAATATTTACGAGTTCCTTCCACATTCGTGCTTGTCTGGGCGTTGCAGCAAGCGATAAGATCGGTTAGTTTCACAACAGATTATGCTTGCCGCGTCCGAATTGTGCTGTAGGAAGCCCGTTGACGCTAAGCTACGGTTTTTCTGACGGTATTCTTCTGCGTCCTGCACTTGCAGCGGTCGACTGCAAATGCGCGAAACATAATTTGGTTCAGATTAAACCTAAAAAGAGGCAGCACGGAATGACGGTCGAATAAGAAATTTGTCAGAAAAACCCACTTAAAGTACTTCGGATTGTGAGGGCTGCTTCCATTGCTACAATGAAGAGTAGTTCAAAGAATATTTCTTGGAATGGTTACAAGTCATCATCCATGTCAACCTCGAAGCATATATGACCAGGACCCCTATGAAGCCCTGTGCTGACGAATCAAAGGGAGAAGTTCAAACGAAATTTCGATAATGAAATTCAATAATGTCGCAAGCGCTGAGGAATAATAAGAGCTTCAACTCTTACTAGCAGAAGATGAACAAAGATGGTTTTCAAGGCGAGAACGACTAAGCGAAATGAGTGGAAACCGGAAACTTTTGCCTCCAACGGCGAGCACTTCAGGAAGAGGCTTGATATGTCAATTGTGCTCTTGTAGACCAACAGCAAGTCCAACCTCAAGAGCTTGGACAATTTTCCCTTAATTTTTTCAAAAACCGTCACCTTGCCTATGTTCACGGAAGAGACAGCGACTTATTTTCCCGTTGTTTTCCATTTTCATCTATCCCGTTGTGAGAAGGGTCAAATTCTCGAAAAAGAGGAACAGGGACTGTCGAATCGCAAATCTCTCGATTCATGGGCCTATGTCACTCATTTGTCGACAATATCTTCAGGAATCCTACAGATTAGAGAGAGTGGGGTGCGCATTGTTCCTCGCGTCTGTTGAAGCAGTCCTCACACGCGGCGTGTCAGCCCGCGATTTTTGACAGATGTCGCAGTTGTCAGTGCATACAATCCGCGCTGGGTCCGCAGCATTCGGCTTGAAGAGAAGATAGCACGGACTAGTGCAAATCATCCGCTCCACTGACACCTAGTCGTCTATAACGTCTCTCTAGGTCGCAGTGGGCTGCCCCGCGTGTAAAGTGGGGGGGGGGGGGGGGGGCCNAAAGGGGGGGGGGGGGGGGTGACCTAGTTCCAACGGACGCGAGGAACGGACGTTCCGCGAGAGAGCTGGGGCAAGAGAAGTACGGGACGTTTTTCGTCACTTTGGAAGGATATAAACGAGAATAGCATAGAAAGTGCTTACGTTTCCGCTTTAACAACCCAGAATAATGGTAAATAATACTTTATAGGATAAATAATCTACTTCTTGCCTTGACGCTGTTAGAGGAAGTGCGGACCCAGCTATCTGGATCCGCTCGATCCCGCACCATTGAGGGGCGTATGTTCAGTTAGGGAGTCGTTTTAGACAGTCGATGACGAAGTAGTGGTAGGGGATCGTCGCCGTAGACGACGATAAAGTTGTTTAGGTTCTTTGCATTTCCATGCGTCTTTCATCAGTTTTACTTGTTTCTTCGTTGTATAATTTATTGTGAAATACTTTCACACAGCTCAGCTTGCAACGGAAAGGAAAGGGTTCTAACGGAAAGGCTGTAGGTGGCGTTCATAGCTCGGAAACTTTGAAAAAATACTCGAGATCAGCATCTGAGAAACCTCCAACAGTATAAGTCCTGCTCCGAATGGCCCCTTCGATTTGGGATTCTTCCCTGGATCATGTTTGGTTGATTTTGTTAGTCATGGATTACATGTCAGGTCAATTTCTCCGTTTCCCTCCTTTGCTACACCTTTCTCGTAGCGGGAGAATCCAGAATCCACGTCAGTTCTTCTTCAGATAGTAGATCGTATCGGTGTCAACGTATCATGGAATAGATAACACTGCATTGAATGGGTATTCGAGTCGCTATTTGTGTATTAATGGGCATAAATTGATTTGACAAAGGATGTAAATGATTTTGTATGTGATGATTTTCATATTTCCACTCACTTCAGTATTTTCAAACTGTGTTTATGTGATGCGTAAATTGTGCCATGTCTGTTCGATGTGAGCTGCCTCGCTACGTGTCTTCAAACTTGCAGCTAAGGGAAGAACAAACCGATTCAATCAGACATTGCCTCTGAATAAGGATTACGTTTTCCAGGCAAGCGAGCATTCTTCAGTAGGAATTTGAATATTTACCAATAGCACAAGCCTGAAAGGTATTCCTGTCTGCTTCATATTACGAAGACGAAAAATGAATGCGAGCTGGCGAGAAGCCCTATTTCTTATGCTCGTAATCATTCTGTTCTGGGTCGTGCCAGTCACTGCATGCAGCCGTTGGCTTCATACTTCGTGCGTAACGCCTAGAATTTATCTCGCAGCAATCTTACAGCTTTTACCATTTCTTGATCCTTTCGAGGAGCAGATTCATTAAGCATGATGAAACTTAAATGAGTTGTAGTGTAAGAGACCTAGTGAATTGCCCCCTTGTTAGGTGTTCAGGCTGTTTTACAAAATGGACCTTATGAACCTGGAAACACTAAGGTGTTTTAGACTTTTTTTGAATGGTCATGAATGCTTGATTAATTTGGTGATTTGCCTTGGAAGCAGCATTCGCAAAAGTTCAATTTTTAGAGTTTCTTAATTCAATATAAAGAGCTGGCAGCTGAAAGAGAAATCAGCGAAGGCCNAAAATCACCTGTTGATATATCTCCACAAAGCCTTTATTCTTTTTACGATGAAGAAATTCCGAAGATTACATAGCCCCGAAAATGATTCTTGTTTTGCAAATACTTAACGGCCTCAAAGTTTTTGAATATTACGAGTTAAAGTCCTATGTGCGATTGGAATCGTTTCGACAACGTGCAGTCCATATAGATTGATCATTAATTTCTAGATACGATCACTAACATAACCTGTCATTCAATTGTGGGTTTCCTTGAATGCTTGACAAATTGGCTCCAAAAGGAGAAACCAGTCCGAAGTTGACTGTTCAATGTACTTTTCCACTTCCAACAATCTATAATTGCGCCCAAATTGCATCAAACTTCAAGTAGTTTTATAAACTCTGGACAAAAAATTTTATATAGTACTGTAGTGATAAAGTAGGTTGCTTTTGCAAACCTAAACGCTAGAGAGTTGTATGCACTTAGATATTATGATCACCTGTGATATGTTCAGCCTAATCGCCAGTGTCCCCGTGGGTGGTTATTTGGAAATTACGGCTTGACTCGATCTCTTACGCCAAAAGTGCATCATAACCCATTCAACGAGCTCGTCAAAATTTTCTTTTTAGCAACTCACTCTCCCAAGGAAATCGAATGCGCAGTCATTATTCATTCGCCATCCTTCATTTATCATCGTAGTAAGCCGACATCTAGTGGCGCGTTTTTGAGCGACGTTCCGCTGCTTGAAGAGGATGAAAGCAAAGAACATTCGCATTCTTGTATACTTACGAGTAGCAAAAAGTCAGTTTGGTTAGAGGCAATTTAAACACATGCACTAATCATTTAATGTTTGTCGTATTTTGTTTATTTTTCGTCATGATTCTATTAAGATCTATCTCGGAAACTTGGTCAAGTTACGGGATTCTTTTTCTTTTTCTCACTAAGTGAACATCGTCACGTATACGAGAATACTTATAGGTTTGTTCCAATCTTGCTTACATACGAGCATGTAAACAGGTGAAGGATAAAGTAAATAAATCTCAAAGATATTGAAAATATAAATCATGTACAATCACCTGAAGAAGTGTTTGGCGTATGTGGTCTTTGTTGAGTACTGTATAATGTAGAACAGCGCATGGGGTGAGGCAACAAGAATAGGGTGATGACAACCATACGGAGCCTAGTCGTCTTTCGTCTTGTGTTGACATATTTGTGTGGCATGTGACCTTTCATTTACTCTCTGCTATTTTGCTGACAAAGTGTTCCTATGCCGGCAATGAGCATTACATTTCCATCATCGTCTCTTCACTTCAGCGTCGTTAATGCGTTTTCCTTTTTGTGATCTCAATTTTCACCCTTCTACTTTTAGGGAGCGGCTTCAGCAAAGGAGCTAGACATGCTTCTGTTCTGAGTGGCAAACAGAAGACTGATAATGAGGTATGTGCACTTATTTTCCTCTTCCTTAATCCTTGAAATTTACCCTGTAGCTCGTCTTTGATTTTGTTTTCTATTTCAAAATTTTATTTACAGAAAATAGTTTTCCATATCTACATCATCACTTTATTCGCTGAACTTTTTTCAAAATCAAATTAATTTGCTTAGGCAAGGGATTCAGAGTTCATTATTTGAAAGTGACTAAGAGACAGTTTTTTTGCAGCCGATATATTTTTTTTGCTTCAGATTATCTGAGTATATCTTTTCAGGATTTGCTGCTCGGATTTGGCATACATGAGTGATTATCGCAGACCTTGCAACTTCTTTTACAATGTAACTGGTGAGGAAGCAGAGCGGCTACTGCGACAGTACGGTTCAGACGGCGAATTTTTGGCTCGGCCAAGTGAATCGCAGCCGCTCAACTTCACACTTTCAATCATGTATGTGAGCATATTTACAGTTTTTACAGAATTATTTTAGACCAGTTGACATAAGGTAACGCAATGTTTATTGTGTTGGTAAAGTTTGGGCAGAAATGTTGCTCACTAGCTCTTCTGCTGCTCCTTCATTGCTATGTCACTAGCTTTTGCTATAGGATCCAGGACTGAATTGACTGGCTTCTACGATGTGCTTTCGAAAAATCGTAGAAGTCATTCAATTGTAGGCTGTTATTTTTTCTTCAATCTTATTTGTTTCTTTTATAGTCGTGGGAAAGCTATCACTCATGTCAAAATCCAGAAGAACAGCGACGATTTTCTAGACTTATTTGGAGGTGAGTGATCGGATTTCAGTGCTGTTAACTTTCTGATTACGTCTACCCTTGTGAATGTGTTGTACTTTGAATGAAGTCAATGATGGGTTTAGGCGAATCGTTTGCGTCTCTCAGTGAGCTGGTGCAGTTCTATATCGATAATCCAGAACAGCTTCAGGAACGAAATGGAGAGTCCATCATAATGAAGTATGTTTTTATTTTCTGACAAATGGCCAGCATTTGAGCTAATTTTTCAATAATTCCCCACAGCTCTGCGCATTGGGCAACGTTGAGATGATGCACATGTGACTATTATGCCTTCGCAGTGTGCTAAGATCAGGGGTGACGAAACTTCTCCCCCAAATTCCCACGGCCTGCGGCAGTGGTTCTGCGGCGACTATACTACCACTGCGATTTCGAATCTTTCCTTCCACAACACGCGTACGCGTGCGGCGAGTGCGACACGCCGTTCGGGGGGGGNCAGCTGGTTCCTTCAACTTGCGTTCCTGCGGATGCGATCGACGAACGCATCCGTTTGTTGGAGGAAATTGACCCAGTCACCAAGAAATCCGGCTTTCTNGACCCCTAAGATCAGCACCCTGCGAAGGCATAAAGCTGTTTTTGGCAACATTTCTTCCCAAGTCGAGCCTTGGTTCGATATGGGCATGAGGTAATGTTTTAAACATGTTCCTGTCATTATTAGTAATGTCCATGCTCTGTGAAAATTGTGTGAAAGGCTGAATTCGTAATCAACGTTGAGTAATGGATGATGCGGGTCATCATCAACGGTCCAAGCTTGGCTGCGCTTCTTTTCATAATTCATATTATTATAAGTTGCTTTTTAGTTAGTGTTGAGTGGCGAAGAACAGCAGGCATCTTTGAGCTCTTGAAGATGTGAAACCCTAACATGAGCCGCGTAGGTTATCGATGCTTCCACCTGGGGGAGGGGGGGCTAGGATATTGATTCAGGATCAAAAGCCGCAGTTTTTTCAAAGATAGTGAAGTAGTCGGGAATTTTATATGTGCCATGTGGCTCCGAAACAGTCGTTCTTGCTCTTCCCTTTTTGTTGCATATATCTTTATATCGCACGGAACGAATGAATGTTCATTTCATAAAGAATCTTAGCATTAAGTACGCGAAACGAGCTTTGAAATTGCTACATCTTAAATCTTTTTCAAGGTCATGAGCTCCATTTAAGGCGACCTATTTCCATTCCACTGTTTGAACCGGCGGCACAAGAAGCTCGTGCTCCAGCTTCCCAGCGTTGGTTTCATGCAAATATCACGGGTACTGAAGCAGTGGAACTTTTGACGAAGGAGAAACAATGGACTTATTTGGTTCGGTAAGTATGAGGTGTTTACTTTTTTTTCCTTCCGTGACTTTATTACGACTAATTGCAGTAGAATTCAAGTATACGTGACCTTTTGAAAATAAACACATTGTGGTAATGAGAACTTCTCTCACTTCATAAGTTAATGATCCCAAAACTCTCTTTCTTGCATTGTTTCTGTGTTATTACAACTATACTATTATTACTATAATCAAACCTACTAGGTAGAAGTTTCAACTGTCAGAAAACTCCATTATCGAACTAACTTATGAGCCCTCCAGACTTGCTTGGAGATAAATAAATTTATTGGAGTGATTACCTTTCTCTGATATGTATTCGAGCAGCGCTCTAGTTCGACTATGGTAATAGCCATTGTGAGTGACGGTCCTTTTCCTCGAGTAAAGTTACTGAAACATCACACCCTCAAACTTTCGCCATACACTCGCTGAACAAAGGATTTTTTTCAGAGAAAGTCAACGAGCTCCTGGTTCGTATGCCATAACTGTGAAGACAACAGATGATCACGTTGTACATATTCTGATTCAGAAGAAGGCCGATGTAAGTGTGGTTGTCTATAAGTATCCCAAGATGATATCTTGTGTTTAAATTACACATTTTTCCAGACTGGAATGTACCACGTAGGTGGTGGTGACGAATTTCGAACAGTCGGTGAACTTTTAGCTCATTATAATAATAATCCAATGGTTGAAGAGGGCAGTCAACGAGTGGTACATTTGATGAATGTAAGTTGATTATGACTTCTACAACTTCTTGCAGCTTTTTCCAAGTGATAATGTTCCAGCTGGTTCCTTCAACTTGCGTTCCTGCGGATGCGATCGACGAACGCATCCGTTTGTTGGAGGAAATTGACCCAGTCACCAAGAAATCCGGCTTTCTTGAGGAGTTCGAGGTAATTTTAGTGAGAGTCAAACTTCCAGTATCCGTAGACTCACGACAAAATTATTTCCCTGCATCAGTCCTAACTTAGCGCCCACTATTGTACTTTTTACGTAAAACTTTATTATCGTAGCCATTACCTTTATAGCCATTATCTATAAATTTGTGTACTTTCAAGAGCAAATAAATTTTTAGCGCATTCAACAAGTAGATGATCAATTTTCTTCTCGTCGGGAAGGGAAAAAGGAGCAGAATATTAGCAGGAATCGCTATAAAAATATCGTTCCGTTCGATCACACTCGGTGAGTCATAGCGCTTCTTTTGCAACTTTTTAGAATCGTGTTTACTTTACTCTTACGCAGGCACAAGAATGTTAGTGCGGTTTCAGAGGAAAATCGCGAACTCTGGATACCATCGGGGGCTAGCAAATTATCTTTAAAACCGCGATAATGTAATGTTACCTAATCCGGTCAACTGTTCTTTGGAAAATAGGAAACACTGATCCGATTGCTGGGTTTTCTCATTTCTATGATGTAATTGTGATTTCCGGGTAATCGTGGCATACTCTCTTTGATTACAGCTGCTTCCTTATTTCCTTGAAAATTTTCACTCTTCAATAGTGGTCTTTAGTAAAGATCTGTTGAAATAAATGCAGCGGAGCATCAGGGTGAAGAGGAAAGTTTCAGCCCGGAAGTCTATTGAATCCGTCTTAAAGCTATGTGATCATTGCAAAGGGTTATATTAGAATTTTATCTTCGTCTTGAGAAATAGCTCCTTAAGAAGAAGGCGAAGTTTCTCCCAAAATGGCGGCCAAAAATGCCTATCGGAGATGAACTGATTTTCTAACCTGACATTCTATTTTTTAGGAGACCGTTAAACCTTCATATTACATGCGAAACAAAAGTTTTGATGACCATAGTCACCAAAACTCCTATATGGTAAAACGTCCGGACCTGAAATAAAGGCAGTAGTTTGCTGAGCACAAAAAGTCTGATTGTAAGCAATATATTGTGAGTAGTCATGGAGAGATTCGAATTGACAGGATTTTAGTCCCAGTTCGTTAAGGAAAGGGGTGAAGTACCCGGTCAAAAAACCTCTAGATGTTTTATGCGTGTAGTTCCTTTTTGGCTCTCAGTATTTGGAAGAAATTGTTGCTTCTTCTGTTGTTTTTTTCATCAGACTTCTGTTGTTTCAGGGTAATCCTGAAGGACGTTTCTCCCAGCGAATCTGACTACATCAATGCCAGTTATATAAAGGTAGAGTGTTAATGCTGTTCAATGAGTCTGTTCGAAGTGATTTTCGAGAGTTTTAAGTATCAAAAGATTTAATGATCTAAATTTAGATACCCAAAGGGCCTCCATTACATCTGTACGCTAATCGAGAGTATATTTCCACGCAAGGTTGTCTTCCCAACACTTTACTTGACTTCTGGCGGATGGTATGGCAGGAGAATAGTCGTGTGATAGTTATGACCACCAAGGAAATGGAGCGATCACGGGTTTGTTTTTCAGTTTGTTCACGGGTCGATCTCCAAAAAGGAAAAAAGTGCTGTTGCAGAGCAAATGTCACGTTTACTGGCCGGCCTTACGCGAAGAGCTCAATCTCCGCGAATATGTAATCAAGACTGTCGAAGAGACGAAAGTGCCAGGCGACAACGGACTAGATATGTTCATCAAGCGGCGTTTTATGGTGGCCAAAAAAGGTGCGCCGTTTGTGGCTCGTTAATTATCATCATTCTTTGTTTGTGATCAGCAGAGTACGTAGATTCTAAAGATTCGAACCCAAGGTATCTTTGTGGCTACTCGAAGTAAGCCATTCTAAGCTCACATTCCGTAAGCCCCATCTTTGTTTTAGTGTAAACCTTTCATAGCTTAACATCATACCATTTTTTGCTTGAATTTTGAACTTTGAAACTTAATTCGTCACTACCATAGTTTTGTTCTTTTTTTATCAGTGTTCCCTCAAGAATTTGCGGACTGGGGACTGCTTGCCCTGTTTTCTAGCTGTCCCATACAAAATCTGAATGCGTATTCGTTCTATACAAATACCTTATGCTTTATTTATGTAGTAACGAGGCGAATGGTTCAAAACACCTGCTCCTAAAGATAACCATTAAGCCCACTAAAGTTGTCCTAAGATGACCTTTAGATTGAGGGGTTGAAGATCGCCACCCGAGCAAATTCTGAGTGAGAATCGGTAGAGAGCAATCATTGCAGTTTTTTCGCTCGAGAGGACCAATCATTTTCATTGCTTTTTTCTGACAGGATGATTTCCAAAGCCCCATGTACCTTGTGCCCTTGCCCAAAACCATTTTTAATACCGCCGTTCACGTGACGGGATCCTTGGTCATCTGGAGTCCCCTCTATTCCACCGTATGTAGTTGCTATTTCGCAAATTTTTTGCAACTGCGAATTCTGTCCTGCACTGCGGTTATCGGTCGGACAGGCTTCGGCTCGCTCCTTAACTGGACATATTTCATGAAACTGAGCAGCAGCACAAATCGGATGTTACAAAATTGGGGCAGATTGTTGCATTATAAAGAAAAAGGTTGTCATAAGTGCAATAAAATGAAGAATTATTCATTTTTTTCGGTTTCATAGTTTCGAATCCTTGATTCACCCCATGATAGGGGATAGCTCTTCTTTTTGTTCAAATTTCATTTGTCGTTTTGACTGAAGTTCGTCCTCAAGTCATCTAAATACGGTGCACATCAATCTCGTGCCGTATTTAAGTGTTTCCATCATTAATATTGTGGCTCGACTGCGTATTGGCGCATTTTTCTTACTTGGCTTGGGCAACAGTTTTTTTTTTTGGGAGATCATCAAATACTTTTCTAAAATAGGAGCTTTTTTATTTATAATAGTTCGGGGCAATAAAAATTTTTGAACAGTATGTGTTTGAAACTGAACACATTGCTTTTGATGCACCGGCAAAGAATCTGCCAAAGCGTTTTGATGCCCATCATATTGATTTCTGTTCTCTCTGCAATTGAGCATTGGGTCATTTCATGTACTCTGCGAATCATGTTTGTTTCTTACAAGAGTATTTCAGTGAATTGTTTTAGGTATGCCACAGAGAGAACTATTCCATCTGCAGTTCATTGGCTGGCCTGACCATGGTTGCCCAGAGCAGCCGGAATCGGTGCTACGTTTCCTGGAGGCTGTAGACGTAGCTTGTAAGAAGGCTATATCAACACAGGGCCCTGTAATTGTGCATTGCAGGTTTGGTCACTTCTGATTCGCATTGTTTCTAATGAAGGCTGGTAAAGTTATCACGTGTACGCTCTCGATTTATCATTATTATTCTAGTGCTGGCATTGGGCGAACGGGTACTTTTATAGTTATAGATATTCTTCTTAACCAAATTCGACACAGAGGTAGGGTTTAGTTTGCTCGAAATCAGCATAATAATGATTTATTCTTTTGCCTTTTTCTCAAGGTAGCTCTTGTCCAATTGATATACCACGAACGGTGATGAAAATACGCGAGCAGCGCAGCCGCATGGTCCAAACGGAAGCGCAATATGTCTTTCTGTACAGAGCAATTAGTTGTTACATAGCTATGCAAAGTCGGGTATGCTGTTTTCCATTTATTCAATAGTCTTCTTAGATCGATGCTATAGGGTCAATATTTCCAGTCTCGACATCCTTCCGATGAGACGGGTACGGGTGAGGGAGAACATCCACATCACCTCCCACCGCCGCCGGTTCCACGTCGACGAGTAGTACCGGAAGTAGCTCAGGCATATGTGAACAACGGATAGTACAAAAATACGGTGCGTCGAATTCTGTTCCCTTCCATTGCACTGGTTGTCTTCAAAGGTGACCCGTTACAATTTTTTAAATGGTATAAACTCTGTTAGTCCTGGTAATTCACTGGTTTTTTTTTTCGTGGTGTGGTAATTTCGGGTGGGGAGGATTCAATAACAGTTGATGGTAGTGTGTTAAGGTATGTGCTGATTCTTTCCCTGATATCGGTACATGTTAGGATATTGCCCCTTCGATTTCACAGTTTTCAAATATCGTTCCCATCGCCTCTCTAGGTGCTGAACTTCTAAATATCACAGCTTAATCGCAACTTTCCCTTGGAAGTAGGAATCGTCAGACTCAGCGCATTTTCAAATTGTACACCAGTGAGTGTATAAATTTTTCCACCAGTGAGTGTATCAATTTTTCCACAAACCTAAAAGTCTATGATTTTGAGGAGCCATTCCATGTTGTCAATTTTAGCTCTACTATTGAAACGCGCAAAATTCAGTGGAAGATGTGATTTTGTATTTTAAGGTTATTTATTGTTAGAGTTGTCGTAATACTAGATTCTTCGGAGGCTGTAGGATTTCACTATTCTAGATATCTCGGCTTTGTTCTTCTTAGCAGCTTAGCTGCGCTTAAAACAGTTAATGCAATTTAGAAAGTTTTTCAGGATACAGTCATCTGCGTCAATTCATAGACTCATGGATACGATGCCGGTGTACAAATCGCTTACATGCTAGCAGTTGTTTACTTAATTTATACTTCAAAATCGTTTTCCCCTCGAAGACAGGTGCATTTCGGTGAGCTGTCTTTGTCAGGTGTTGATAGGTTGTGAATTGCTGCATCTATTTGAAATTCCTTCAACTTGAACAGAATTTCAAGTAAGATTGTAATTATGTAAAAGTACCCATTTTAAAATTGCAGTTTTGTAATGTTATTATGTGTTTTGAGTTAGAATAGATTTTTCTTGCATGATGCTAGGTGGTTTATTGGTAAAGTTTGATGTATTTCTGTTCACTGCTGTAACATGCTATAATTACCGGTTAAGTAATATCGAGTGTTGATTGATCTTGATTGTGATGAGTTGCGCTACCTTTCTTTAAGTTTAGGAAGCGACGCATCTGTAGCTATTTATTCAATCTGATTTCTTTCATATATATGTAGGTCATTTTTTCCATTGAAATCATATCATATTGGAATCATAAAAAAACATTCGCCTAGGTTTGAACTCTATTTTGGTGATCACCGTCACAACGAATTTCTGTATCAACAACCTTTGTTACCATATGTAGTCGTTGTTTCAAAGTATTGTCAATGAAATTAGTGTTTGTGTGAGTTTTGTGAGTACGAAGAAGGCGGCATTCATCAATCAATACAGTCCTTCTAAGTGGCCTCGAGCCAGCAGTCCACGGCAGTTAAGCTTTTGGTTGAAGGTTATTGAACTTTAAGCACCTGAATCTTTTGTCGAATATTGTAGGAACAGCCTGCTCCCAAGAATATGCTGTGGTTTTGCTCTGATAAAAATAATTTCTGAGGTATTCTCCCTAGAGTGAATCTGTGGCTTCTTTGCATATCGTTTGATATTCCTTCCCCCTAGGGTGAATCTGTGGCTTCTACGCATATCGCTTGTGGTACTGTCAGATCGATAAACGACCTAGTTTGGGCTTTAGAACGGCTCTTAGTTTGTATCGGTTGTATGCCGCGCCCAAATACCGACGAGTTTTAACGGCATGCAGGGCATTATTCTCTAGGGATACCTGTGTGGGAAATTCAAACGGTTCGTGTCCCATAGTGGCAGTGAGTAATCTTTTGCGGGAATGCCCACACCGCTGACCTCATATACTTTTGCCCCACACATATGAATGTAATGTTCAACTTAAATGTGCAGAAAATATAGAGATCTGTCCACTCGGTGTCGAGTAGTAGAGATCAGCGAGTGTGCGGGTGAGGAGCTAGATGTTGGAAGACGATGGACCTTTAGGTGACAGGCAGGGGCGCATCTGCAGTGGACCGTGAGCTTGACCGTAGGTCGGAGACGTTGTCTAGTGTACTCATCGAGAAGCCGATGGTGGCCCTCAAATATGCGAAATGAGATGAGTCGTGGTACAGTGAATTAGCATTCCCAGGTACGAGTGTTGAGCAATGTTGCACAATGAATGGAAAAGTGGCTCACTTTGATCTACACCCCCACTACCGACTAGACCCTGCTCAGCTGATTAGGTCTCACTTCCCAGCTCTTCCCTTAGCGTAAGCTCTTTAACGTACTCTTGCCTTTCGGACTAAGTCTCTTCTACTTTCAGACTCGTACCCTCCCCTCATTCCAAAAAAGCCCGACCTCGGACTTAGAAATGGAGGCGGTGAAAAAGAGAGAAATCATCTTTTCACCTGGAAAACGGGAAGTGATCCGTCTATTCTAGGAGGTCTTGAAGAGCCGCTGCGGTTGTAAGTGCTCTGCGGTTGTTAGCCCATTGGAGGACATCAAACCAGTAGGACAAGCCTGCCAAAGACTTCTCGTTACTCAAAACACAGTGGCCGTGGCATCTGGACAAGGCGAAATTGAGGCGGTGGGCATCGTTAAGGAATTCTCCACGGTAGCGGTCGAATCCTGTTCGAGTCGTGAGTGGTATTTCGATGTCCTTTTCGCGACCTTGTACTGAGCCAGCTGTGTGAAGGTCAAGGGCTGATGCGCTAGCGAACTGACAGGCTTGAAATTAGGCTCGTGATTGTTTTATTATAGAAGCCTATGGAGGCGATTGATGCGGGTTGAATGTATTTGCGTAGAAGGCTGATGACGTTTCAACGGCAAACTTTGGTTTCGGCTGCGTTGCTGCGCGAACCGCTGAGTGATTTGGTTGACGTTCCGGTAACATCCAGTAACATCCACGAACACGAGCAGGTAAGCGGGTTCCGGCATTAAACCACTGACAAGAAGAGTTGGCGATCTTCGGCCTGCGTTTCGTTGACAGTTGATGGTTGTAGAAGACCAGATTCGGGAAGTCATTCAATGGCAGGTGAGTTTGAAAGGTTGCTTTCAGAGGAGCGTTTGAGACTCGACTCGAACGTTCATCACGCTCTGAGCGCCGAATCGTGCCGGGCTGGAGGAACGCGGGCACCGAGCGTGGGGTTCTAAATGATGTGTCACTAGAGCGAGCTCTGGAATCTGCGAAGCTTCGTCACTGATGAGTGTGGTGAACGAGTCGAACCAGTTACAATAATTACCGCCTGCGGAGATGAAGTTGAGGAGAGCTGCCGAGTACGGCAGGACGCGCTCAAACATGATCCTTATGGCATTCAGTCAAATCCGAGATGTCACGTTTCGATATTCTTCACGTTTCGCTTCTGATAATTTCACAGCGAGGTCATGGTCGAACATGAATCGTTCTAATAGTTCACGCCTCTCTTGTATTTGAAGGACGTCTGGAGAGCTTCCGTAGAAAGTTTGTATGGGAAGTTCACAGGAGGGCGCTTCAAAATAGTGTGCAGGTCGATCGGTGTCTGCGGGATAAGGGCGCAGTCAGACATATAACGGAGTACGTCGATGTGGCGGTAATCGTCCATGCACAATAGGGTTCGGTGGACTGCGCGACTGCCGTGTTCGTTGACGTGGTAACGACGCGCTCTCTAAATTTAGAGAAAATACGAGCGGCTAAAAGAGTGCTGTTTTTCGTGTGCCAAACGCAGCAGCTGAGGCGTCTTACAAAAGCAATGGCGTAACCCTGGCCGGCTAGCACTAGTTGCATACGACAGTCGAGAATGAGAGAGCTTTAATTAGACCGAGACGAAGCGAATATTTAGACTCGCTCAGCCAAACATTACCCACCAAGAAACTGGCATCACATTCATCTCCCATGCGGAGGCACAGCGGCATCCTTCTTCTTTGTCGGGTGTCCAAATGGCGACCGATCCATCCTGGAGTGTGCACTTCCCATCCTTATACAGACAGGAGCTCATATCCACAGCGGCGGACTGTGGTGACTCTTTACAATGGCGGGCATGGACATGTGTATCAATGAGGTGAAGTTGTGGACGACGTTCAGTGAGCCGAACAGCAACCAAAAGGGGTAGAGGGGAATTTAAAGTGTCAAGTCGTTAAAAATTCTCTCATGGTGGGACATGAGCCTGCATTCCTCAGCAGACACATGTAGGTGCAACTCCGGAAAATTCTCATAACGTGCTCCGCAAAAGCTAACAGAGTAAGAGGCAGAATTCCGAATGGCCTCAGAGGGAGAAGTGGGAGTAGAGTAACGTTTAGTATTAAGAACATGCATTGTGAGAGAAGGCGGAGGCACATCAGTTTTTTAAAATAAGGGCGACCAATTACACGCATTCGGCTCAAAAAATAACTTGGTAGGGTACTCCGCTGAGGCGAACGAGCCCGCTGTGCAAGATAGAGCAGTGTACCCATTAAGGCGACGAAATGTTATTGCCAAAAGCTGAATTTGCGAGCTCCTCATCCCGTCTAACAAAGCTGCTATTCTAGAGCCAGACTGGTCTAGCTCGGTTTGAGTTTTGTGTGCTGTGAGAGAAAGATCAGCAATATGCTGCTGGTCAGCGATTAAAGGAAAACCAGAAAGCGGAGAAGAAAAACTACAAACCGTGAGCTGCGTCTTAACGCGCTGATTTGGAAAACCCCCATTACCAAGCATCAGACGTGGTGTAATCGACCTGCCCCCTTTTCTCTTGTCGGACTTAAGTGGTGACGGGCTGTGAATAGCACGACGACCAACTCCTTCGCAGTTGTAACATTCATCCGAGTAGATATATAGTAGCGGACCCGCCTCTGCGTTCACCCCGGAAATCAACGAGGTCCTCCTCGGAATCCGGCGGGC